GCTGAAGCTCTTCTGCAAAATGAAATCTTGGATCCGCTACTGATAGCAGTTGTTAAAATTCACCAAATATGAAAGAGGTGCACCGGAAAGAATAGAACTAATTTCTTTTATACATCCATTAGATGTGGAAAATAATTATTTATTAATGGTTTGTGTAGTGGTTGTGTAGCCTGCGGATCTACACTGGGATTGGAAGATCCAACTGGGGCAAATCCAGCTTTTATAAAGTGGATGCCCTTAATTGTGAAAAACCTGGGCAAATCACCTCAGCTCCTTTCACAACAGTTGGCCTAGAAACAGTACCTAGTAGAAAAAGTACTGAACCTTGGTGGGTTGTAGAAATGTTGATAACAAAGGTTATTACTTATTTGAGAAAAAAAAAAATTGGTTCAGAAAACATAACTCAAAATCTATAAAATTGCACTTAATTTCTTATTCAGAAGGGTTACAAATATATTCGTCAAAGAGGATAACAAGAAAGGGACTTTATAATCAGTGTAAATAAGGTATAGGCTTCAGTCATAAAATCCTATTTATTTTAGCCAAATTTTTGCCGACTCAGTCATCATGAAGGCATCACTAAATAAGTTTCATAAAGACAAAAGCTTAAAAAAATTACAAGCAGACACCATTGAGTAGAAAGAATTTCATAATAATTTGATAAACAGGAAATATTCTTATAAAAATAAATTGGAAATTCAACAGGCAATAAGTTAAAAAACTGGCAAATTAGTTTTCTCTTAAAAGATCATCCTTGAATAAGTAATCATCCTTGAACGAAACTCCGAACTTAATCTTGTAACTAGATATTTTTTTCTCCTTTAAGTTTAGCCATATATTTTAGTAACATAATGTTTAGTTAGTACTTTGTAACTTAATAGTGAAGATTAAGTAGTTCTACTACCTAATTCTTCATTATAGTTCCTGACCTGGCCATCTAAGAGAAAAACGAAGAAGAAGAAGAAAGAAGCTTAATCTACTCTGGTAAACAGGGCTGTCTCATCTATATAGATAACCAAGGGCAACAAATCGTATGATTGCCAGTGGGAGATTTTTTTTTTATATACGATTTATCAACAATGACCAAAATGTATATGTGTCTCCACCCCAAAACTTTTCCAAACGATGAAGTCGGAACTAGTGAAGGATATTTTTGAAATTACCTCATCTTTTTAAGTTCAAACATTGCAGTATGAACCTGTAAATGGGAAAAACAATCTGAAGCCATATAGAAACAAACTGTTTCATTCACCTTTAGAATATGGAAATAAGTGAATAAGGCTTGATTTTTTATAGACTAGCAAATTTTAAATTTACTAAAATAAGGCAGTCAATAATCATGTAAGTTTTATTTGTAACAATGGGATAATGTGGTGACAATGGCAGGAGTGACCTCAGTGGAGGAGATATAAGATTATAAAGGGAGTGCAAAATTTTTTTTTAATGTCCAATAAGATATAATGCCATTATTACTCATAACCTGCAGTTTCCTACGACTCCAATTTTAACCAATAAATTTGAAATAGAGTGTGGACTCTTTTTTAATCTACGACTCCCATTTTAACCAATAAATTTGAAATAGAGTGTGGACTCTTTTTTAATCTACGACTCCAATTTTAACCAATAAATTTGAAATAGAGTGTGGACTCTTTTTTAATGAAGTTATCATAAAGTTATACTTAGGATCTTTAATGACAAATGAATCAGAATAAGTTAAAAGAAGGATGCTCGCAGGAGCTAGAGCTTATTTTGCACATAAGCACATGGTAAACAGTAACATAATATCTACCAAACTGTAATGAATAAAACGCTGATGAGACCTGTTGTTACTTATAGACATTAAATTATAACATATGTATGTGACAGAATCAGAATGGGACGAGGTGAAGTAGGAAAAATAAAGAGATTTATAATCTTTATAATGATCTTCAACTGTCGCGTATGATAAGATGATCAGGTTGAAATGGTATGGCCATGTCAACCAAATAAATGAAGACATATAGGTGAAGAAGGTCTACACAGGGAGAATCTTCACCACCCGACCAAAAGGACAACTAAGGGTACGATGGAGGAAGAAGGCGGAAGAGGACATGCGACAGGCAGGCATTTAGATGGTGGACGACAGAACTCTGTGGCAACAAATATTAAAGCAGGCCAAAGACCATCACGGTCTGTAGTGCCAAAAGAAGAAGCATAAAGGTTTTGTCTGAGTAATGTATAATGATGTCTTTCAAGCGTAATACTACTATCTATGATGCATTGGAGTATTAAGGATTGTAATTAAAAATTAAAAGATTAACTATAACAAATTGTCCTAAATCACAACTTTCTGATTCCTAATTCGGTGAGATGGTATTTATTGTACATAATTATATATTTTATACTACATAATTTTTTTTTTATTTAAATTTAAATTTGTGTTCAGACCACAAAAATACAACTAGGAGACCAATATGGTCCAAAAATTTCAGCTTTTCCTTATTTAATTATTGTTTTTTTATAACTCTAATAGATCAGAAGATGCTCTCCATTATTTAAAATAAATAACTAAGAAAAAAATATGAGAAATTTTGGCAAATATTATATGTGCAACAACAATTATAAAAATATGGATGTGTCTGTCTGAATACCTTATAAGCCATTGAGCCTATATTGTTATACTATTGAATAATTGAAGTATATGAGACTATTTTATATATTTTCAATTGAAATATTAATATTTCAGTTCGATAATGAGTTAATAGAGAAAGAATTTTTATGATAATTGTCAAATTAGAGGCTAAAAAGTTACAATTTGAATTGGATAATTATTTAGATGAGGACCATATGTGTTACACATGGTTCACAATCACTTCGTTCACACTTGATCATGAAAAGCCGAAAACAGTCTTTCTGATAAATCCAGATGCATTCAGCACTCTATGAACAATTGTGAACCATGCGTAACCTGTGTGGTTCTCATATAAATAATTACCCCAATTCAAATGAGAAACCTAGTAAAAAAAACAAAATTAAAACTTTTATAAATTTTTTTTATTTGATTGCAATCATGTTAATATATTATAATTACCTACTTGTGATCATATTTAATTCATTTATTGAATCTTTTATTTGTGCATTGCATGTCTAAATTTTTCCCTGTATTATAATAGTTTTAGAAAATAATGAAAAACCTATGGAATTTTCATATGTGGACAGCTTCCTGAAAAGGGTTAATACAGTTTAATACATGAAATATTAACATAGATACATGAAATATATTTAAAAATCAAATAAATATTTGAAATAATAATTATCCAAAACCTTTATGAAACAAAAGATTACATCAATAGCATAATTCATCTTTAATGAAAAATGGAAAAGGATTTATAATTGGAACAGGATATTAGGATGTGTTGTCGACCCACCATCTTTAGTTCACCATAACCGAACACTAAAAAGATAAATTATACTTTACAACCGATTAAAACTATAAACCACTCCGAACTTCTTAACACTTATACACTCAAAGGTTCGCCACTGCTGACTGACTGAAACTGTTTTTTTACTGCGGAAATCTAATTGTCGGAACAAAATAATTTCATTAGAGTTTCTTCGAAATTGAATTGACCCGTCCGCCAGAGAAAAGAATTAAATTGCCAACTGTCTACGAGTGCTTCATTAAAATAAAAATTTCAAAAATAAATTATTCTATTTTAAATCGTTAGATAACATTAATTACTTTTTTAAGTTAGAAATTGAATAATAGTATATTAATATTACATTAAAGTTTAAAAATGGAAATATATGCCCAATTGTGAAATGATTTATTATGAAAACTAATTGTTATTAAAAATAAGAAGTAGTTAAATTTTTGAGTAATATAATTTAATTTAATTTTTTTTTTAAGTGCAAGATTATTATTCGAACATTTTATTAAAACGAATATTCAAATAGGATATTTCTTGATTAAAGGTTTAAAAGCAGGTTGTATTTCGATATTATAAACATAGACATTTATTTTATCAATAATTTTTGTATTTTAAATCTTTCATATAAAAAATCTGAAATATCTCCTACTTTTATTTATTATATCATAATTCAGTTATATGCGGTTTCTGACAAAACCAAATTGGCGGTCATTTTATCATTTAAATAATTATTTCAATTAGAATAAAAGTGAGTTAAAGAAAATTATTTAACACCAATGATTTAATGTCAATTTTATGAATATCTTTTCATCACAAGAACAAATGAATAAGTAATAAATAATAAATAAATGTATTTGCAGGCTCGGAAAGATCGAGGGCACTAATTGAAGGTATTCATAAAGGGACCCCCTTTATATTTTTGTTTTATTATTTTTTAAACTACAGAAATTTAGAATTAACTGCATTATACTCATTTAGTTATTGTTTTGTTTGTTCAGAAAGTTTACAACTATACAACCAACTTTAAGCTGTTGGTTCACCAAGACCCGTTAAAATAATTGGTTACTTTTTCAAATTCATATTTACAATTATTTCTGCCTATGTACCACAGGCGGATCTACAGCGAGGCTTTCGGGCTCAAGTTTCCCTCTCCTCCCCAAAAAAATGGTAAAATATAACCATCTCTTATGAAAAAAATATTAAAACGTTATCTCTAAAAGAATCAATCATTACTCGTGTAATTACATTTAATATGACTTCAAGAATCACTAATACACCATTTCATATTGTTTCTTTCTTTTTCTTCCAAAGTAATTATCGTTATATATATAAGTATAAATTTTCATCTGAAGCCCTCCCCCCCCCAATAGTGAATCCTGAATCCCTTAATATTATGTACGTTACGTATTTGAAATATTATTTATATATTGCAATAATTTTTGTTTAAATATTAATTCTCCTGCAATATTATATAAAAAAATAAAAATAAAATACAAATAGATACATCATAAACTTTTAGAATAATAGAAGACCTATCAAACACGAATTAAATTCACTACCTTATTATAACTTATTTAATCTTGAACTTATATAAAATACCCAGCAAAAAACAGTAAAAAAGTATCTATATTATCTAAAAAAATCACTTTGTATCTATATATTTTACAGGAAACAAATCACAGAAGATACATCAGCTGGTGCCTGGTATCATATGCTTCCTATTAGTGTTCTTTTAAAGCATCTCAGTTTTATTTTTATATAGTTAATTTGTACAAAACCTGTGTGTAACAATTTCAGAGAAATTTTAATGTGAGTTAATATCGTTTGGAACTATCATTTAAGCACTATTGAAGTTCGTTTGTCCTCCAATAAGTTGTATAAATCAAGTTTAGTTTTTGTTTGAATCTATGCAAAAACTAATGGAGACATTTCCATACATAGTGTCTAATTAATTTTGTATCCTTTCATGTAGATATTTAATGTTTATTATAGTGGTACCAAAGATTGCAAAATTAATATAATATATACTTCTACTATGCTCTCCTCTTTTTTATATTTATAACTGTTCGTGATACTTTTAAAAGTTGGCATAAGCAAAATTCACTCTATTAAGAAATAAACTTAAATTAAAAAACATTTATTTGTAGTTTAAATGCGGTCTAGCCTCATAAACAATTATTTTGGGCCACTCACATCAAATTACCCGGTGTTGAATGATAAATTTTGATATATCCGATTTACACGATTTATGCTATCTTAGTTACACAATTAAATTCATGGTAAAACAACTTTTTCTATTTTATTAATTATAACTTCTAAAAATTATAGAAGTATACCTTGTTTCCCAATAATGTTCGTAGATTTACTATTGATGGTGCTAGAGGAATGTTCAATTGTTCTTTAATTTTAGGTAGTAATATGGTAACTTCAAAACATGAAATGTTTTGTTTATTTCATAATGTTTCTGAGTATAAATCATTATGGTCATCAATCAACCCGGTGGTTTTATAATTAACAATTTATGAAAGTAAGAAAGAAAAGAGGAATTATAAAATAAAAACAAAAATATTAAACGATTAAACAAATTAAAATAACTCGATACTATTAAATCTTTGCTATTGATTTACAATCTAAAATAAATTTATAATGACGTAGAGATGGTAGACCGTGATATAATATGAAGAGTTGATCGGGGTTTTAAAAAAAATTTATTTGGCGAAACAATTAAAAATACTACTTTTTAACAATTTAGTATTTATTTGATCGCACCTCCCCCTCCTTTTCCCCTGACCAACTCCTTCTTATAAATTTTTTTTTTTTTTTTTATTATTTCAATGGAATTTACAACTGTATTACATAGAGAATACAATAAGTAAATGAGAAATTTGTAACATGGCATGTACAACATGAAGAGAAACTACCCATTGGTAGAACTCAACTTCTTATAAAATAAATTTAATTATTGCATATAGCATTTTCATTGTCTCCCGAGTAGATATATATCAGAATATTCTCTAGCTGGTATAGTAACAAAGACATTCTTCAAAAATAGAACCATTGTATTTCAGTGGTGCCTTCCTTATTAGGAATAGGATATGTATGAGCCTCCTATGTCCTATCCATAGATGGGTTACTGCCAGTTTTTGGCATATGGATTTTTCCATAGCTTCGCAGTTTTCTCAGTTCATTTCTGTTTTCGAGGACGACTCTCATCCCATCTCTCGAATACTAGTTATTATCAATACTTTCTTTTTCTGAGTGGAAAAGCTCTGTCACATTAAAGGTGGTGTGTGTAAAACTGGGAAAGTTTAAGCCTCTCTGTTGACCATCTCATTTCCTGTGACACCTGTTGTGACTGTTTCCTGCTAAAGTGGTACGACTTAATTATTGCTTCTAGCATTTTTAGGTTTTTATGAATATGTTATAAGTTAGGATGTTCCGAAAACATACTATTTAGTCATTGAAGTTTATAAAATTTATCAACTTTGATACTATTATTTATCAAATCTAAACTAATATGTCATCAACAGTACTGTTGTGAGGCTGACATGTTATTTTATTTTATACATTATATTATAAAATATAAATTAATAATACTATAAATCACTTGTTGACAGGCGCCACCGTAATGTTTTTCGAGGAATTTATGCCAAACGAAGTATTTTTAAGGGAATACCAAGGAGCTCCTATTTGGCCCAACTACGGCCACTACGGAAATCTCTCCTACAAAAGATTGAAGGTAAAATAGTTTGTATTTTCACTATAATATTAATCAATAGGAAACATGTCATAAATTATTCTAATATTTCAAATGTGTTAGGAATGCATGTATATAAAATACAGAGCTCTACAATTATATTATTTTTTTTATATTTTACTTATCTAGTTGATCAATTTGCCAGATCACAGAAAGAAGAAGTTTATGTACTCCCTTTCGATGAAATACCAGGTCCCTGGGTGCCTTCTTTTGTACCTTCCAAGTACATAGTGGGACCAATACAACAAGCACATAGTTCAGGTTGATTCCTTTCATTATTTTTAAAATAAAGTTGTTAGTTAATTGATGTAAAAAATTATAATTTTTTCATAATATTCTTTATTATTGACATATACTTGCTTAATTCTTGATGACTTAGAGGTGATACCTCTTAACTGTTCATGGACTAAATTAATCTGCCTGTGAGAAATTTCATTATTTATTATTTTAAAATATTACTGGAAAACATCAGTGTGTGTATAAAACATAATAATAACAAAATGTTTTTTAGATAAATTGTTTTTTGTGTGTATTGTAAAGTAGTCTTTTGCAGATATGATGTATCACCTTTTAGCCTTTGAATTATTAAATTAATTAATATTTCTAAACAGCTTGCTAATCAAATTATATTTTAGCAGGTTTCTTCCAGCCTTATGAAATGCTGTTTACCATGTACGGTCCCCTTGTCAGGGTGAATGGGGACTCTTTACTTGTCAGTCATCCAAGGTACATCGAAGCAATCATGGCTATTTCACGTTCTAACAGATCGGCTTTGTCAACTATGGAGCGCAAGAGGAGGCTTTCATTACCAATTCGGATGCCTGAGTATGTGAGGGAATATGGAAGCATTTTTTTCTGTTTATTTAAAATTATTCTAAGAGTGTTGTGTTGAACTTTTCACACAAAATAAGATCAAAACTTGTGAACCAAAAATATGTTTTTGATGCTTAACTATCCCAAGTATTGAAATTAAATAAATCACATTTCACAAAATAAAACGAAATGGGTTGATATTGGTTAATGGAATAGGTTATTTAAAAAATGACAAATTAGATTTTTTTTATGATTTAAAAAATATATAGTTTTTATAAAGTGTTTATGGGAGAGTTTTTACTGTATCAATATTACCAAATGTTGTAACAAGATTTTTCTCAAGTTTACTATGTCATTTTTTGCTGTAAACTTATTCAAGTTTCTTGAGAGCACTGATTTTTTTTTCTTTAATATTCAACTTTGACGTTGGATGAACGTGCTTTTCTAAAGGTCAGAAAAAAGAATGTACAAAATAAGAAAAAAAAGATTGTTGAAACATTTTTTTTCATGTACTTTCCTTTTGTTATATTTATAACTAGGTGTTGTACCCGTCGTTGACAAGTGTACAGATAAAATTTGAGAATATTTTTTTGAAATGGATTTTATATTATGAGGGGTGGTTCCAAATTTAATTTCACTAAATTGGGTGGGAAGGAGGGTTGTTTTTAATGAACCTCAACCTGAACAGCTCCAATCCTGAGGGGGTCTTTGGAACTAACTTTCGTTTTAAGTTTGGCTACTTTGGAAATTGAGCTTAAATTAGACTTTTTTCGCCATTTTTATCAATCTGTAGAAAATATTTTAAAACCAAATTTAAAAAATCACACACAATTTGTCTGCAGAAAAAAAAAAAATTTGGTCTGCAAAAAATATTTTAAGACTCACAAAATTTGGTTTAATAAAAAGTGGCTGGTACCTATTCTTTATTTCAATAGTTCAATATCAAAAGACAAAGCTTGGTCAAGTACCAAGTAACTGTAGACAAAAAATTATAAATCCCAAAGAAATTGGTACCAAATGTTATTCCGATAATTCATTATCAAAATACGAAGCCGGATCAAATTCCAAGTAAACTGTAGGGTAATAATAAAAACAAAACCCAAGGATGTTGGTTCCAAATTGTTAACCAACTAATTCAATATACGAAGCAGGTTCGAATTCCAAGTTTGCTATAATCACCCAATCAAATAAGGTTTCAATAAATTATACTGAAACAGTAAATCAGTAATTCAAGTCAATATCAATAATCAAAGCCAATTCAAATCCAAAAGTTCCAAATATTCTCAGTTTTTATCATGGGTTAGTATCTTCGAGTATATTGAGAATTATAGAAAGGGGAGCAAAAAACAAAAGGAGAATAGGGGGCGGGGGTAATGGAGTGGGTTGAGACAGACCGAATATAAAAAAAAGTGTTCTGTTGCTGCAGTCGTTTTACAACAATAATGGAAATAACTTCTTGTTTCTAAATTTAATTGTTCGCAGTTGATTCCAAGTTAATTTCAATTAACTTGAAATAAATTGTAAGCTTTAGATTAAACAAATTCAAACCAACAATCATTTCTTTTCATTCATTCAAATTTTTACTGGTAAACTTAATTAAAATTTTATCCGGATTTTCAAATACCTAGTAAATTGCAGTCAGACAATTAAAAAAAAATGAATTCTTTTATGTATTTAGATTTTGTTTATGTCTATTATAAATTATTTGAATATCAACAGTTATTTATTAGTAAATTCAATTTAAGATTTAAAAACTAAGTAAAATATTGATTTAAAATCTATATGTGAAACAAATTTTTACATTCTTGACTGACAATGAATATGATAGTAGAGCTAATGAGTGAACAATTTTAGTCAAAATTTTGCCTATGTATTATTTCTGTGAAATGGGTAGTAGCCTAAGTAAAGGTGACTAAGTGAAATAGGGTGACTTGGACGCTCAAGTGTTGGACGGTGTCGGATTTTTTCTGGTAGAGTAAGGTGAAGTATTTACGTTTTCTATAAATGTAACATCTAGGTTGAAACTTTTGTTTTAAGCTGCCAGTCCATATATTTAATCCGAAAAAAAAAATATGACCATATTTATTTGACTTGGCGAGCTTGTAGAATGACATCTCGATCAGATCAATTAGATAAACCTAACTACTGACTCTTAAAACAGTGTGTTGACGCTTTAGCGGAAGTCCAGGATTTCGTTTTTTTCCCGTTGTGCTCTGAACCGAGGTCTCTAGAAAAATTACTCAAGAACTCATAACTTTGGTTCTACTCAATATTTTGTTTTTACTCAAAGACTGTTTTAAGTCAAACGAACCTAAATATAATGTAAAAATTTCAAAAGTCTACCATTAGCCATCGCTGAATTTGTCACTAGCAAAATAACGGAAATATCATTTGACATTAAAACTTGGTCTGAATATTGTGGCAGGCGGGGTAAAATTTTTGGAAGTTTTTTTTTCTGATTTTCAGCTAATCCGTTTGGTTAATCCTAAAAATGTAAAAGACAACATTTGTTAGTCTTGGGAAGTTGAATCGAATGACACCTTGAACGGGAAGATCCGACAAAGTTGAAAAATGAATGTGTTTGAAGTGACAATGCGGTACAGATGTTCGGGATTTCAGATTTTTCCCGTTGAGTTGTGATCATTTTTTCCATCAGTTGAATAGTACAACTTTTAAATGTGGCTGGCGGTAGAGTAGGTTGGAATGAGAATCGAAGGAAGTAACTGCCTAACCGGGATGTCTGGACTAATTACTCAAGAATTCATAACTTTGGTTCTACTCAATATTTTCTTTTCATTTAAGGCCTGTGTTTTTAAGTCAAGCAAACCTAAATACAATGTCAAAATTTCAAAAGTCTACCATTAGCCATTCCTGAGCTTACTCCTGACAAAATTTTGTTGGACAATGCGTACATACAGACATAAACTTTTTTTTAAAGTGGATTTGGTATCTGTGATGTATGAAAAGGAAAGATATCATGAAACGGGTTGATTCTATTCAATGTAAGACAAAACCTTTATTTTATTGATATAGAAGATTTGTTTAAGGCAGAAGGGTGTCTACGATAAATTGTAGAAAGTTAAATTTACTTTAAATGAGTGTATTTAATATTTTATTTTCACCCTGTCAAACTGCTAACTAAACTTAAAATTTTTTGAAAGTTCTCCGATGAAATATACTAGGTTGTTACAATAGTCCTTGTGCATATGTATACCCTTATTTGATATTACATATTTTAAACATTATTGCATACTACTCTTCAAAGTAAAGTCTATTGTTTTGAACTACTTTCTCACCCATCTTCCTGCCAGCAATTGGATTTGATGCAGGTACCACTCCTTAGGTTTTGAGATAAAGAACTCTTCACATAAAATTTTTGCATCCTCGCTATGATCAAAGATCCGATCTTTTAAAAAATGAGCCATTTACCTAAACAAGCCATAATGTGCTGGGCTATACATAGCATGAGGGAGGCAAAACGTTTATTTCTTGCAGTTCCGATAATTTTTCCTTGGTCAAATGAGATCGATTGCTGTGTTGCAAAATGGCTTGGTTCCTTTAACTGAAATTTGGGTGTTATTTTAAGATATGGTAACATATTTAAATTATTTTTATTTTTATTTATATATAAAAAGCTCTTTTGATCTATTTAAATTATTTTTATTTTTATTTATAGATAAAAAGCTCTTTTGGTCTGTCCCACAATTTTCCTTATTGTTATGTGATTTTAATTTACATGAATGTTTCGGTTTGACCATGCTCATTACATACGCTGCTTAGTTACAATTATTTTTATTTCTTATGGGACAATTTAATGTTTCATAAAAAAACAAAAACTTTTATAATTAAGAAGCTGATATGTTGAGAATGGCCAAAGGCCAAAATTTTCATTCTAATTAAAATTATATAATAATAAAGAAAATTGTGAGACAGAAGATCAAAAGAGCTTTTTATCTATTAACATAACTTATTGGTGTCCCATCCAATTTATACATAAATAAAATTTTTAATTTTTTAAGGTATGAATTGGATTTTAATCATTTATCAAAAAAATATGCAGACATATTGAACTTTAAACCCAATCATTTCAACAAAAGGATTGAAGTAGCATCAGATCAGCTGATTAACAGGTAAATGAAATTAAAAAAGGAAGTTTTTTATAATTTTGTTTGTAAAAATACAAATATTCTATTTAATTATAATAATTTTTGTTTTTTATATATTAGTTGATATTGATACTTGTTCCTTATTTGCAGAATGTATTACACTCGAAATCTACAGCATGAAGTACCCAATTTTGATGAGGAGTTATATCACTGGGGATTGCAAAGTAAGGTCTTTGGATGTTAGATTAGATATGTTTATTTAAAATTATGGAATAAATTTGGACTCACCTAGGCTGGATTTAAACCAGCTCTTTATGAAAAAGATTGGAATGGGGAAAAAAACAGGCATCAAATATTGTATTCTGAGTTACAGACTTCTTTTTTGAATTATTACCATCTGTCTAAAAATTTTTAAATAGCATCATTTTATCGTAACCTACAATTTTTTTATCTATGAAAATTCTCAGAAATGGGTCATTTTTTTATGAGTTAGTTTTAGGCTGATGTTAATAATTTGATAAAAAGGCATCTATTCCATGAACTATTGTGTTTCCCTTTGTCAACCAGTTACTTAATATTTTTGGCGAATATCAACTTCCTATCTAAATAAATTCTTAACAACTAAAAGTATAGATAAAATTCTTTATAAACAGTAATATAATAAATGAAGACAATCTAACAGTCATATCATTTAAAAGAATAGTTTTGTTTCATAATTTTGTAAACACTAACTATGAAAACATCAGAAAATATCTCTTTAATTTTAATCAGTGAACAATAACCAATAAGATAAGCTATAAGAGTTAATTAACCAGTTATCCACTTATACTAATTCATTATTGAACTCGCTCAAGACCTATTTATTTGGTTCAGAAGAGCCTTGGTTACTTGTTCTTTCCTTAAAAGTCTAGAAGCCATACCTAAATATTTGTTTAATTTACTAAATATATCTAAAAGTTTCTTTATTATCCGAAGTGCCCAAATAATCATAGAGCTATTCTCCATCGTCCACCTTTTCAATAAATTTTTTGTCTGTCAAGACTTAACATAATGAGCTATATTTTAATATTTAATACCTAGTATTATAATATAATATAATAACTAATACATATAAGTATCCCATGGAAACCATAGCACCTAAGACGCATTCTGCAAGACTTCCGATTTATCTCGAAAACAGGACATTTTGGGGCTTTATAATGCAGGTTCCCAGAGAAGGGGTCTATTCTCTATTGCCAATAAGGGGACTACTGTATTATGTTGATAATAGTACAGATATAGTCTAGTCAATGAATGCCTGAAAAGAGGGTATAGAAGGAAATGGCGTGGACACAATTTTTGACTTTAAGAAATTGTTTGGACTAGTAAGTAGGTAAACATTCTAAAAGTCCCCACTCCTAGGTGGTGAGCCAGATGGGGGAGAGAAGAGAAAGCATCTAATAAGTCACTTTTTTCGGGTTTTTGCTTATATCAAGAAAACTATCCATCGCATCGACTAAGATGTTCATTACAAAATTAAAGCTGTTAAAATTTGCAATATGATTGGTTAAATTTTTTATTATATCGCTTAGTTTCCGAGATATCCGTCCTCATCTATCTCTAATGTGGAAGAAAAAAAATATTACTTCTGTTTTTTACTGTACTTGACCAGAAAGCTCTTGATTGCTTTGTTCTAAGATTAGATCATGTGGAAGAAAGTTATTAATAATTAAATTTACTTCAAGAATATGTAGTTGATCTACAATGGTTAAAAAGTGAGATCAATTATAACTTTATATGTCAGTTCCGATTGAAATATGAAGTTATAATTTATCTAAGTTTTTAACCATTGAAGATAAACTAGAAAAATAATATATTTTTTGGAAAAAGTTTAATTGTTGAAAACTTTTTTCCATATGACTTAATTGTAGAATGAAGCAATCAAGAGTTTTCTAGTCCAATATAGTAAAAAACATGAGGTAAAATAATTTTTTTTCACATTAGCGATAGTTGAGGACAGATATCTCAGAAACTAATCGAGATAAAAAAGATATACAACCAATCATATTGCAAATTTTATCAACTTTAATTTTGTACAAAATGTCTTTGTCGATGCGATAGATAGTTTTCCTGATAAATGCAAAAACCCAAAAAACAGTAACAATACAAGGGAAAATGTTTTTTTTTCTAAGTTTCCCTTTGTTGAGAGATATTGGAAACTAAGCAGAGTAGCAAAAAAAGTTATATAATCATTATAAAAAAAATTATAATACTTATTGAAGAAATTTAAGGATTACCATTGTGATTTGTCAAATTTTCCTTTTGTTTGAAAACTTATTCAACAAATCCATTGCTCCTGAAAGCAGGAAAAGAAATATATATATTACCTTGTAGATTTTCTATAATTTCTGTACAAGGAAGTAAGTTAAGATTTTCCGAATTCAAAATTTTTAAAGACACGTTCTATTCTGTAATTTTTTTTTTTTTTTTTGTCTCAGTATACATGATTTATCTATTGTTATTTATAGCTAATTTAATCATATAAAATTTTATCCGATCCTCTGAAGCCTCCAAAGTCTGACAAAACTTATTTAACAGCTATTATTATTTACTCCGAGGATATGACATTTACATTATATTTCAATTTTTTTTACATTATTTCTTTTTTTCGATTGATTTTATTTTGGCCAGATGTGATCTTTTAATTTTGTTCTATTTTGTTATTCTCAAGGGACTGTGTCCCAGAATAAAATTATTTTTCTATCTATCTATCTATGACCTTGAATAAAGATTTTTTTTTTCTCTTCATATTTACTGATACATTTTTCCTGCTTAGGTATATTCAGTTGTTTGTTCTCAAGAGACTGTAGCTTCTTGCAAGATCCAACTAGACTAAGCAAATTTGGGCCGAAGTCAGGTGTCTACCAAACTTACCAGAGCTTCCTCAATGCTTCTCATTGCTTGGCAGAAGCAGAAGCCGGGCCATTAGGACGCCTTGTCCGCCAGCGCTCTGTTGCTAACCATATTGATGTTATGAATGGGTATATAAAATTCCTCAGTATTTTTCTTGTTAAATTTTTTTTCTCATTGTCATTATTTATCAGAATTTAAAAAAATGTTTTCTTATCATAGCCAGCTTTCTTATCAAATGAACATTATCACTAATAGGGATGGATCGTTCCGGGTGGAAGAGATTCCAACTTTGTAACAGAAGGATTAAAAAAAGATAAAATATTCTCCATATGAAAAAATCACATCAAATTAGAAAATCAAACAAAAAGTCACAAAAAATCAAATTAAAAAATCACTCACATTTTTGTTAAATCAATAATGGGTATTTTCATTCTTGGCATGGATCATATCCCTTAAACATCTTTCCACTTTTTTGAAAAGATGAATGTTGTCTCACTCTTACAGATGAGCTGTTTCCAGTTTCTCAAGGATACTAGGAAACATATTCCGATTTTGTACTCATCTGTTAATGTGGTTCTACAAATAATTGGGTTCTGTACTTCATGGTGGCCATATCTGGCAATTCCATTCTCAATCATTTACTCATCCAACAATCGTGATCTGTGTGTTTTTGCATAACAAAAATCCCTCACCAATGTAGGGTGAAAATGTCACTACATGCTCTTCAGCAATGTTGTACAAGTACTTCAGTGATGTTAGTGACCTTCCTCTGACCATAATCAACTCCTTATGCGCATTGGAAGAAATACCACCCCAGAAAATGCAACCTGGAGAATGATACAGCATGGAATGTACCTTTCTCCAGAGCATTTCGGTATGTAAATATGGCTAATCGAAGAATTGAGAACAACTCTCACTTCATCTTTGAAGAGAACACTCTTTCAATGTCCAACTCAAATGATCTGGTGTGAATCAAGGTTGGGCCGTTTGATGAGCTGTGGTAAGCAGAAGGACTCGGACAAGGTTTTGAGCTGTAAGATTACATTCATTAAGTCTTCTAACAGTCCTGATGGAAATAGACAAATTTCCGACTTGCCTTATGAGATTTCTATTCTAAATTCTATGGTTTTGCAGAGTCTGTGGCCTGATGTTTCTATCCTCTATTGGCTCTGTACACCTATGCCGACTCTGTTCTCCTCTTCTAGAGTGTTGTCCAGTCTCAGTAAAAGTTTTTAGATTTCTTCTGACAGTTGTATGGTGAACTCCCAGTCTCTTGGCTATCCTTCTATATTAAGTTTTATCCTTCCTCTATCAATGCCACTGCTAAACTCATTTAAGTAACTTACTCTGGCCATTGAGAGGGAAAAAAAGTATAGCAAGCTAAGTTGATGAGGAAGAACTAATGAGAACAAGTTTATGAGGAGAAAATAGTATCAGTCTAATGTTTAAGCAAACAGCCAAGTGCAAGCCTGAACTTAGGGCCGAAACGTCAGCAAAAATAAAAATAAATATAACTTATTTATTTTTACTTTTTTTTTACTGAACACCCCAACCAACTTCTCTTCAATCAGCCTAATGTTACTGTCTGTAGAAAACAAGATTAAAATAATCTTTAAGAGTAAACAAAGCTGTACTTATGGTTTTATATTCACTCTGAAATCCTCTATATATATCAATAGATTAAGAAAACAATAGCTGGAACCTGCTAGTTTAATTTTAACTTTAACTAAAATATTGTACTGGTTCATTAATTTTGTTCATCAGTGTAAAAAGTTTGATCCTGTTGTACAAATGAAATTTGTCATGAAAGATTAAAAAAAAAATATTAAGAATAAGAAACTCTCTTATATCGCATTTTATTTTATTTTAACTTTAAATTAAATTAAATTTAAACTTTTTTTATCTACCATAACATATCAATATTGTTTACATAAATTATATGTTTCATGATAAATTAGTGTCACATTTTTTCTCCAGTTGTGCTCTAATGGTGAAATGTAGAAGAAACAATGCCGCTGGACTTAATTCCATCTTCAGAACAGAATGAGACTGAAGGAGAATCGTTTTAGATTTCATTCCACTCCAATCTGAGATTTATTAAAAATGTAGCATTTATTAAAAATAATTATGACAATTTTTTACTGATCAGTTTCTGCTTTATTAATATTCTTAATACACATCTAAGCTTATTTTAACTAGTTTGAAATTTTTGTTAGATCAACTGATAAACTGGGGCAAAAAATTAGATAATTTCATTTTTCATGAAATTCTCAATGCAATGCACATCGAATGTAAGTTTGGCTTTGTCTAGAAAAACAAGTAACAGTGGAAGATTAACATAATAGTCTTGATGTATGCGTCTTACTGTTTCAAAGTGCAGTTACATGTCCTCACTACAGTTATATTTTATTTTTTTTTACAGGATGTATATACTTTTAGTAGACAGTGAACTTGAAAATAGACAATTTCTTGCTTTATACTAGCCGAATTAAAGTTTAAATTAAATATCTATTCAAATTAGTTTTTTATAAAAAGATATTAGTTCTTGTATTAATCTTATTTAATTTACTAACTTTTGTTTACATGATACTATAGGATTCTGTGTCGAAATCTTCGAACAAAATACCTGGCTCTCTGGCGCGATAGTGACAAAAAATTGGAGTCAGACCTTGTAGAAGCAATGATTCTTCGAGATAAGATGAATTCAGATGACATACTTACTCGACTATGTGATATTGTGGTTCTTGGAGTGAATATAGTAAGTTTTTTCTGCTTACTTATAAAATTTTGTTATTAAATAGATTTTTTTTTTCATTTGTTACCCTTTTAAAGAGGAAACTAATCAATTCTGGCTGGATACCATATTTATCATTTCCCCTTATTTATTTTGTATTCAGTAACATTTTGATCAACTTTTTGTTTGATTTATTTTATTAGTACTTCTTTTAACCATGTATGATGGTCCTTTCACCTTTATTAATAAACCAAACAATTTCAGTGGACTTTTTTTTTTTTTTAATTTTGCACATTAACAAACCTCGTCAGGGGTGCCCAGGACGGGGTTTCATGGCACAAGTTGTGAAAAAAAAGGTTTTGAGAAGAGCATATTTTGAATTTTTTAGGGCATATTTCGACTGGATTATAATTTTTTGGAGTGAAAAGTTGCAATCCAGAGAACAAGGGGAAACCTTGGACCAAGCCATTGCAAGTGTATTTGTATATGACCTACGATTTTCCCAATTCTGCTTTTGCTTGGATTGTTTTTAAGAAGAGGAGGACAATACAAATTTCTTAAGGGGAGAAAGTTCATGGGTCATCAACCTTGGGGGAAGGGATGGTCACCCCTGTAACTAGTTGATTCGGTTTAATCTTAAACTTTTCTTCCGTTATGCTTATTAAAGCAAATCCTGACTTCAACTCTGATAGTAATCAGAATTTGCTTTTGAGATGTAACCAATGTGTAGGTTTCTCTGCAAGTATGTTCATGTCATTATTCCAATTCACATTCATTTGTTGTATTTTTAGTTAATACAGCTGTAAATTGCAATAAATATTTTATTAAAAAAAAAAAAAAATATATATATATATATGTTTTGATGAATTACAGGTGGCACACTCAGTCGGCTTCCTTATTTACCATCTTGCGAAGAGCCCAGTTTATCAACCTATGCTCCACGAGGCAGTTATGAAAGCAGATAGTGAAAATTTACATAATATTGATTTCATGAACTACTGTATATATGAAAGCATGAGGTAAAGACTTAATTTAATTCTTATAATGAACTTATCAAAAAAAAAAGTTCCGTGTCAGATATTAATATATTTTTACATTTCCGTTTACAATTTAAGATGATTAGTTTCAATATCTATATCAACTTACAAAGCTGTATTGACCATAAGCGCCTTCAAATTAGTATGTATTATGTTTAAGTCATGGAGTTATGTTGATCAAATAGGATCTGTAAAATTTTTGAAATTGATTAATTTGACTGATACTCAAAGCATAAAAAAACATTTTGACCCATAATATTACCCTCCCTTCTCAAATAGTAAACTTAACTCAGATTACCACCTGTGAGATTGTCACCACATCATCCTTTTTTTACTGATTTTTATTTTATTTCTTTAAGCATCAATTAAAATAAAACATACCAGAATTTATAGGTTGAAGAAATATTTTTTAGATTTATGAAAATCTTTGAAAAGCTGATTCATTTTATCAAAATACTTACTATTTTCATGACATAATTAATCAATTAAGTAATATTTGACTAAATAGACTTATTTTGAGTATGTATAGGCGTCCTTGTAATCTCTAGGTTATTGCAATATAAATTAATCATAGTTTATTAAAATTATTTAATTAACATTATCAAGTAAACCGCTTTAGGATTTGAAATTTATATTTTTATTTTTCCAGGCTAGTATCACCATTCCCATCTCTCTCCCGAGATCTCGATCGTGATATCATTTTACATGGTTATGGAATACCCAAAGGAGTGAGTGATTTGTCCATTTTCGAAATAAGTATTAGACTTGTAATACTAAATAGGAACATTTGTTTTTTGTTCTTCTTTTATGTTTGTACTTATGTATGCGCACTCTTCAATTACAAAACTAACAATCAGATAATTATAAGAAAATATGACAGAGCTTCTGGTACATTTTGGCTTGAATTAACTGAATGAATTGAATCACATCTAAACTGTTCAGAAATTTAGTATTGTAGACTTCTCTTTATCCATACTAGTTGGGACCGAGATATTAACAGTAAATCTATGGTTAATAAACTCAGATATAAATTTAACTGTTATAATACATAAAAATTAATCTATAGATCATATGTATATAAATATGCATTTTTTATAAAAGTTCTGTTATTGTTTGTTTCGATGTCTAGGCGCAAAGCAGCCAGGTCATCAGCACATAATCAACTACATAACACTACTTTTATACTGGTCAGGTGGTTGGTACAAAAAATTAAAAAAAATGATAAAAGTAAAAGAATTCGTAGAATAAAATAAATAAATAATGATAATAATAGTCACTTATAGATAATAAGATAGAATAGATAAATAAAAAAAATAGCAATAAATGAATTTAAATCAATAAATCAATGAACTTTTAAAATAATAAATAAATCTGCAATATATTATATATGTTTTATAATTTTTTCATTGTCTGAGGACTTCATAACTGCTATTGCAAAAAGTCATTAAGTAACATTTAATATAATAATAGAAGAAAGTAATTTGGTAAATTTCCTCTCTGTGAAATCGGGACATTGTGCACTTAGAATAAGCATATTTCATGTTTAAAGTTGATTGTTATAAGTTTTGTTTTGTATCTTAGTTGCTTTTACTGTGTTTTTATATATTGATAAAAATATACATAAAAGTTGAACTCCATAAGAATTATACTTGGTTACTTTATTCAATTCACTGACAATATGTTGAAATTAAATTTATCAGACAACACAAGAGGACAGAAAAATTTGATTTCGCATGTGAGTCATCTTCAACTTCAACTTAACATCCTATTTAAATAATTATGTTTCAGCTCAAGAAGGGATAGTCAATATTTAATATTTTTTTCAGGAAAATTTCAGGAATAAGATATCACCTTTCAGACTTCTTACCTTTGATTTATATACTTAAATGGACGAATCTTGAAAATCAATGTGTCTTTACCTTAAGAATTCTGTGAACAGTACAGAACTGGATCTAACTCAATTAAATTATTTATATAGATTTCCATGCTGAGTAAAATTAGAATTTAAAAATATTTACTTAGTCTGTCAGTAGAATTTTAACAAACAACATAAAATATCAGAATTCACTTGTTTGCTTATAGATTCAGGTGCATATGATCAACGAAGTGGCCAACATGCGGAAGGACATGTTCCCTCACACGACCTCGTTCACACCTGAGAGGTGGCCTCGGATGGGCAAAGAGCCAATGCTTCCTCATAATTATCAGCTGCTGCCACTAGCTCCAGTTGCTTCTTTACTCCATGCTCACATTTCCGTTCTTACTGCTAAGGTTAGTTATACGGCTTAAAATGTATCTTTTAATTTTATAAAAAAAAAAATTATAAAAAATAAGTTCTAAAGAAGTTGATAGGTGGCACCAGTGTTGGTTGGTTATTCTTTAATATTTTTGTCGATCTAATAAATAACATATTCCGTTCATTAACGTTTGAACAAAGGAATGTTTAACTTTGTTATTAATATTTTAGAATTAGATAAAACTATGTATATTTTGTGATGTTATTGTGAAACTAAGAGTACGATTACTTAAAATGGTACGACTATTTTTTTCATTCTTGTAATACATAAGGGCATATAGAGGCCATAGCTGTACGAAGCCTTGCAGTTCACTATTTCATCAGGTTTTGGTATCGAGTTTGGTATCTCATCAAAGCTCAAAAACCTGATTCAAATTATGATAAGTGCTGTTAGGTGTGCCATCAGAAGTACAACTGGATTCATCTCCTGAATTCTTGACAAAGAGGATTAAACTATAAGAGGAAAAAAATATATTTGAGAGCTTGCCTGGGAATGGATAACTCTAACAAGGAACTGCTCTCAATTGGTCTGTTCACATAAAAAAATGTCGACTAGTTTACATATTTTGACTTGATAGTCAGCTGTTTAAATAAAATATCTATTGAGACCAACGAATAAGGAAGCTAGTTATTAGAATGAGAAAGCACCTAAGCAGGAAAGCTCGGTCTCATCAACTAAGTACTATCTTTATAAACACTGATAAGACCTGTATTAACCTATGCTTAATAGAAGTGGATTCTAATTAGTTCAGAAGCTCTTATCTTCGAAAGAAATATTTTGTTTGAACCATTAAAAATGTATGGAATCAATCGAAGAGGTGCTATAAGTGTGAGATATCTCAGTTTTCAGAGAAGAGAACATCATTTGTTTTATGAAGTCGGCAGGCCACATTGCTAGGATAAATGAGGAAGAAACCCCAAGAAACTACTGGCTAGGAAACCGGATCGGTCGATAGGAAGAGGAATACACTGAGGTGGCAAATGCTCAGATTCTTTTAGGTGTATGTAATTAGAGAGAAGCTTAACAAGATCGAGCCACCTGGTAAAGGCCAATGTCCACATCGGGCTGTAGTACCGTTGAAAGAAAACAAAGAACATTCATGAGTGTGAGCTCATATTGAGAATGGCCCAGTGATACTGATGTAAATTTATTATAATTATCAAATCAGAAAATATTTTGATTAATTAATAATTGCCAGCTGTATAATTTTGTGAAATATTTTCTCTAAATAGTAAAATTGATAAGCTAAGTATTGGAATCCAAACCCATTCCTTAGTTTTTTCTTCTTATAAATGATCTCATCTAAATACTTTATTAGATTTTTAATGCCAATTTTACTTTGCTTTCAGTTGGTGCAACATTTTAAGTTCGAATATCATTATGGCGATATAAAATCAGGACAAATTTTGGCCAAACCAAACAAACAATTCCTGTTTACCTTCATAGACAGAAAGAGTGAAAACTCATAAAACAATGGCAGAATCAAATTCATTTCAGTTTATGTTTAAATTAAAATCACATCATATCGAAATAATTTCTACAGTGCAGCACCATGTCAACAGCTTATTTGTGTTTTAAATAAAATAAAAAAATAAATTCTTATTGTTTTTATTTTACGTTAAGTATATGTATTTCTACTTATTAATACATAAAAGAGTGAATATGTCTGTATACGTATTATTTGTTTTGTAGTTTATTATCTACCACTTGAATGAATTCAATCAATAATGACGTTTTTTTGTAAAGAAATTATTTAAATGACTTTTAATAAGCTTCACCAATATTGTAATATAATATATTTACAAAAATATATATCTAGAAATAATAAATAAAAATTAAATAAAAAAATATTAACAAATATATTACAAAATATAAATACAAAATATTCATAAAAATAGTCTAGAAGACATTTCGTTCTAGTCGTTTTCTTTATACTGCAACATCTGCCATATCACTTTAACAGCAGCAGGCTTAATGTTATAGTCCTTCAGTCTTTTGTGCAAATCAAGCATAGATTTATGTTCTGAAAAAGAAAGAAAAATGCTGTAAATGATTTAATATAAGTAGATAGATACATTTTCAATTTTTTCCAATTATACCAAGCAAAAAAAAAAAATTTTCAAATTCTTTGATTTGATAAAAACACTTCATATTTGTCTTCAATCTTTATAAATTGCCGAAATATGGCCTTCTAAATAATATAATTAGCCACAATTTTTGAAACAAAATGGCAGGTGATAATGGTTACACTTGGGCAAAATCTAAAAAAAAAAAAACTGGTACAGTAGTCTCCAAGCAGTGGACAGCAAACATACTTTTTTGGGAGTGAGGGGGACTTTTAACTCTGGCATTATTCCCCTGGTTCGGGAAAAATCCATATATCCGAAAAGTTAAGAAAAAAAAAATTTTTTAAAATATTTTGTATCTTGAAACCTCTAATTTTCTAGAAAGCTAAGATTTATTTTTCTACGTTGATACCACTTCGTTATTGATAAACTTTCTGCCATTAAAGATATGAATGTATTTTATTTAATTTATTCAATATATTTTTAACATAACATGGCCAAAATAAATAATCACATCTTGCCTTGAACCATCCATTTTTGAGCCAATTCTATTGTACATTGAAGGACGTAACCAATATTTTCAGTATTCCATCTGACACATTAACTGCCCACCTACAAGATGACTCTTAGTTACTATTCTTGTCTTGGATACCAACTAAAAGTTATCTTGTATTTTTTTTTTTTTTTTTTTTTTTTTTTTTTAGATCTTCCAGCTAGGATAAAATTTTAATCCTTTTGGAAGATTACTATAGGTATTAAAACCAGTTGGCCTGTGTGAATAATTCTCACCGTATATTGGTCAGTGAACAATTGACAGTATAATATAGAAATAAGATAATGACAGAGGAAATAATTATATTTTTGTCAGTCAAATCACATTAGTTCATTTATATTAATAAACCAAAACATGTGTGTACATTACTATAGTCTGTATCTTTGCTAATAATGGTTCGATTTTTTTATTTATTAATTTTTTTTTTCTAGTAGTCATGGGTATAACAAAATGAATCCTTTTTGAATTATTTGAAAATAAAGTTTCTTTTCCTTCATAACTTTGTTTCCTGAAATTTCACGGGGAATGTTACTATTTTTACCAACTGAAGGAGAAGATATGGTGTATATAAAAAAAAACAACACCTTTGAGAAATAATATATAAAGATTAAAATTTTTTATTGAATATTTAATAGTTGACCGTTGCATTATAAAGGAAGGAGGATGGTCCTTTATGACCGCCACCCCGGACCATATCCTTCCATTAAATTTTTTAATCTTTTTGCTGTTGGGAGTGATGAGCTTTACGTCTACCACAGTGCTAAGCCGACTGATTTTTTGAGCCCAAATCAGCAAATATACAATCTATTTATGCGGATCTTTTTCGCATTTTAGTATTCGCTGATAGACAAAACTCGTGGATATCAAACCTGTATATACATAGACGGATTACTGATTTTCCGAAAACGGCTTTTTCCAAAGATTTTATTCTCACGTGAAAAATTTTAGACCTTGTAATATAGATATTTTTCAGCCAATGCAAACCGTGAGGAAGCTATACTGACCTTACTTGGCAGAAATTTTTTATTGACTAATTCAGACAGGTTATTTACCATTCATTCATTCAACATTCGTGCTGAATGCTTAGCATGATAGCACATTAAGCATTTACAATAAGTGCATGAATACCCCTAATATATAATAAAAAGAATATTTGTCGGTTCAATATAACCGGAATGACCATGAAAGGGGAATGTACCCAAAGATGCTTCAAGAAAGAAAAAAATGTATAATTTTACCTTGGTCATACAAAGATTGTAACAGGGATTGGAATGGTATCCCATGGAAGGTGAGGTAGCCAATGAGAGCCTGCAGTTCTCTTTCCGTCCCTGTTACCTGTTTGCACTGGATGTAGTCAGCCAGCAGATGATCATTTTCTAAGAAACAGGATAAAATCAACATCGTATAAAAATGAATAAACTAATAATATTTACTTAAAATATTTGAAAATAGTTTGACAATGGTAAATGGGTAAGAAGCTTGTAGGATGGTAACCTTGTGAAAGCAAATTATTCTCAAGAGACAGAATAATTTTTTAACCTCTCGATGCTGTCTTTATCCCCAGTAACTAAATTATTTGATTTTTGTATATTTAAATTTTGTAGTATATGGCAGAGTTGGGCAAAATTTATCTTAAATAAAAGATATAGATAACGAATAATTTATTCGAACTTTTCAACTACAAATAACGAATAATTGTGTTTATCTTTTATCTAGATAATAAATAAATTCAAGTTATCTGTTATCTTTTTATTTGTTAATCGACTTTTTTCAAATAAATTTCGAATAATTTGACGCTTATTTTATTTTTCTTCTATATATGGGCCAATGTGTATATTTTCAGATCCATAGTTTTTGAAAATTATCTCCATTTTAAGAATAAGCCACTGCATTGCGACTTTTTTGAGTTTTTAGGATTTCTTCCATATCAGGGTTTTGGAGGTAATTTTTATGAAAATTCTGTCGGATTTGAGATAGCGCCTCCCCCGAACCGACTTTTTGTAACTTATCAGATTTAATTGATATGAGGGTCGAATATTATGTTTTGGGGGGCCCTTTTAATGAAAATACTGTCGGATATGAGATAGTGCCCCCCTTCCCCTCCCCCGAACCGACTTTTTGTAACTTTTCAGATTTAGTTGATATGAGGGTCGACTATTATATTTTGGAGGTGATTTTTATGAAAATACTGTCAGATATTAGAAAGCCCTCCCCCTCCCTCCCCTCCCCCCCTCCGAACCGACTTTTTGTAACTTTTCAGATTTAGTTTATATGAGGGTCGAATAATATGTTATCGGGGGCCCTTTTTATGAAAATACTGTCAGATTAGAAATAGCGACTCCCTCCCCCCGATTTGGTATTCGGTTAGGAAAT